TCAACTATAATTTAATAAAATAAAATTTTAAAGATTAAAAATAAATAAATAAATCACCCAGGAGCCTGTCAAAAAAAAGGAGACTCTGAGGCCCCCACCCAGACCTCCTGGATCAGAATCTGCATTTTAACAAGAGTCGCATGCACATTAAAGTTTGAGGAGCCCTGATCCTCACCTACTCGATTTAACACCTCCATTTTAAAAAATATTTGTTTATTTATATATTTATTCGTCTGCATGAGGTCTTAGCTGCAACACTCAGGATCTTCATCTTGGCCCACAGACTCTTTAGTTGCAGTGTGCGGGATTCATTCCTCTGAGGCATGTGGGATCTTAGTTCTCCAACCAGGGATTGAACCCACGTCCTCTGCATTGCAAGGCAGATTCTTAACCATTGGACCACCAGGGAAGTCTCAACACTGACATTTATGACAAATTATTTTCTAAGTAACTCCTGCTATCGGGTTGGCCAAAAAGTTCATTCAGGGTTTTTCCATACCAGATTGCAGAAAAACTGAAACTTCTTGGCCAACCCAGTGTCTTGAAGTAAAATTCATCACCTACACATATGTGTTTTGTGTATTAAAGTCGCTTCAGTATGTCCAGCTCTTTACAACCCTATGGACTGTAGCCCATCAGGCTCCTCTGTCCATGGGATTCTCCAGGCAAGAGTACTGGAGTAGGTTGCCATTTCCTCCTTCAGGGAATCTTCCCGACCCAGGGATCAAACCCACATTTCTTATGTCTCCTGCATTGACAGGCGAGTTCTTTACCACTAGTGCCACCTGGGAAGCCCTATACACATAAGTCCAAAAAAAGAGATCAATATATTGATTTGATGGTAACACAATGGAGAATGAAAAGGAAAGATTTATAAGCATTATATTTCAGCATATGAATGTTCAACACAACTAAAAGATGTGAAAGACAGGGACTTCCCTGGCAGTCCAGTGGTTAGGACTCCATGCTTCCACTGCAGGGGGCACAGGTTCAACCTGTTTGGGGAACTAAGATCCCGCATGTCACATGGCATGCCCCCCCAAATTTTTTTAATAAAAAAGATGTGAAGAACCAACCAAGTTTCTAAAACATATCCAAGGCAGGTGATAGCATCTAGTTGAGAAGCAGTGGTCTATCATCACTGCCATCCTTCTTTCCCTTCCATCTTACAAGTGGAAGGGACTATCTCTCCTCCTTTTCAAAGCTGAGGGATTCTCTTTTGTAACAAAGTTTCTTCTCTACATTCTTCCCAAGGCCATGGGGTGTGTCTGTTTGCGTGCATGCACACTCAGCCGCATCCAACTCTCTGTGACATCATGGACTGTAGCCCGCCAGGTTTCTCTGTCTATGGAATTTTCCCGAGGCCATAAACACTGCCAAATCTTGAATACTGCAACAACCACAGAACAACTCTAAAATCTTGACCAAACACGTCCCTCTAATTACTATACTCTTCCTACTTCCCTTGACAGTCAATCTTCTAAATCGCATTAACTCATCTTTCAGTCACCAACCCGTATTAATCTAGTTTTCACTTCCACCAGTAAACCTACATGTATAAAGATCATGAGTCTTCCAACCAAACTGACCAAATCAGCGAACACTTCTCCAAACCCATCTAACTCATCTTTCTGTAACAGACATTGCTGCTGCACATCCAGTTTCCAGTGTCCCATTGTGTACATGGATTCATTTCTCTCCCAGGTGACTAAGGTAGAGTGACCCCATCCTGAGCTGATTCTGTTTTGTCTAAGCTCATCAGGTCATGCCATTCCCCCAGCACTGGCTATTGGGTAAGGTGCAGACACCTGACATAAGCTGACCTATCAGATTGAAGGAAGAGTGTAATCCAAGTCTGAAGTTTTGTCCTCTCTTGCTCTAGTGGATGAGAAAGTGTGTGTTACTAGTAGTCATCCTGCAAACTTAAGGGGAACCAATCTTACTGCGGAAAGCCAAGAAAAGAGATGGGGACCCTGAAGACATTGTTGACCCACTGGAATCCACCCTTTCTCTGGATTTTATGAGATAATTTTCCTTACTGTTTATGCCATTGGGTTTTCCCAAATTGAAAGCATCTACTCCTTGGAAGGAAAGTTATGACCAACCTAAACAGCATATTAAAAAGCAGAGACATCACTTTGCCAACAAAGGTCTGTCTAGTCAAGGCTATGGTTTTTCAAGTGGTCATGTATGGATGTGAGAGTTGGACTATAAAGAAGGCTGAGCGCTGAAGAATTGATGCTTTCGAACTATGGTGTTGGAGAAGACTCCTGAGAGTCCCTTGGAATGCAAGGAGATCCAACCAGTCCATCCTAAAGGAAATCAGTCCTGGGTGTTCATTGAAAGGACTGATGTTGAAGCTGAAACTCCAATACTTTGGCCACCTGATGCGAAGAGCTGACACATTTGAAAAGACCCTGATGCTGGGAAGATTGAGGGCAGGAGAAGGGGACGACAGAGGATGAGATGGTTGGATGGCATCACCGACTCAAGGACATGGGTTTGGGTGGACTCCGGGAGTTGGTGATAGACAGGGAGGCCTGGCGTGCTGTGGTTCATGGGGTAGCAAAGAGTCGGACATGACTGAGCGACTGAACTGAACTGAACTAACATCCCTGAACTTCCCTCTCTTCATTTTCTAAATGTCACTCTTATGCCCCTACTTATACTTATCTTATGCCCCTGTTTTTCAAAAATTTCTGGCCTCCCCTCTTCCTCCTCCTTACATTTTAGTATCCACCAAGGTTTGCTGTGAGCTTTTCTACTAAAAAAAAAAAGTTTCAACAATTTCAGTTCCCTTTATCTTTCCCTTGATACAGCAGAACTAAGTTGGTGGCACTTTCCCAATGGAGTACCACTGCTGCTGTTCCCCAACTCAATCAGTTGAGGAACTCCCATCTCTCAAAACTTGCCTTGTCTGAAGTCCCCAGGGCTTCCTTGCTCTTTTTCGCCATAGACCTCTTCAGCAGTCTGATGAGTCCTTTGGACCCCTTCTCCAAAAAATGCTTCTAATTGCGTAAAATGCCAATTACAGTGCAGTATAATTGTTTTTAAGACCAAAAATCTGATACAGTAATGTGTTTCTTTACTAGCTCATTAAATAAGATATAACAGTGAGTCTTAGAACTACTATAATTTTGATGTAATGATGAATATAAATGATATTTGGAGATCTGCAACAACTATAATATGATATGACAATGTTTGTGACATGCACTGGTCCTACTGACTTCGACTGGTGACAGGTACTGCTAATACTACTGTAGCTTGTTGCTGTAGTAGCTTATTAAATGAATTGCTCCCAGTGAACCATATGTACTCACATCTATGCTCTGTGTAGTCCCCACCATACTGACTCTGGGCTTGGCCATGTAGCTTGTCTTGACATCAGCAAATGTGATGCAAGCAGGTGTTCATGCCTCAGGACAAGCCTTCTTGGAAACCAGTAACCATGTGAGGAAGCCCAAGATAGCCATACTGACGGGCCCCAGGCCCACAGATATGGGAGAAAGGCCACCTTGTAGTCTAGCCACCAGCTGAATTTAGAACTGCCCAGCCAACCTATGGGTGGTGAGAAATAAAAAAATCATTGTGGTTTCAAGGTCATTATCCAAAAATGGATAACTGAAACAGTTACCTACATTCATAACTGAAGGAAATGCTAAACTTCACCAGAAGATTAGTGAAAAAGATTATACTTTCCCATCAAAGTTCAGGGACCCCCGAATTCTACTCACAGACCCTATGAGGGAACGAGATCCACAGGTTGAGAACCCCTAGTAAGACAGATTCTACTCTTTTTACTACCACAGTACATTAATAATGTAAACTGATCATAGCATATCCTTAGTTGTTGCAACCCTAAAACTGAGCCAAACTCCTAGCACGTAAGTGTTTCAACACAAATTTATGAAATAAATGCAAGATGCTTTTGTGCTTTGTTTTCCTAACTAAACTGTGAGCTGCCTGTAAGCAAAAGAAAAGCAAATACTTAGATGTCACTATGTGCCAGGGCCTCTTCCAAGTGCTTCAAACCTAATGTATTTATTCCTTATAATAACCCTACAAGGTAGAAGCTAGTTCCCCAATTTCACCAATAGGAAATCAGGCACAGAAAGGCCAAGTGACTTGCCCAAGGTCACACAGCTGGAAAGTGGCAACGCCACAAGTGGAAGGCCAAATCCATGGTCTGGTTTTATTCTGTCCTAATGCCCCCAAAGCCATAAACCATAAGTAGTACAATTCTGACATTTCATTAGCACTATTTTATGAGTGCACTGCTTCAAGACTCGACTTTGTAGACTCCTTTCTAATAGCCTGGGATTTGTTTTTCATGATATACAAATACCATTTACTCTTTTTAAAGGAGAACAATGTCTTCATATTAAAATGCAGATTTTCGAGACAGTCTTCACTGTAAAAGTCAACTTCTTTCAAAGGACACGAGTTCATAAAATGGAAAGAAGGGGGTCAATTTGTTCATACTATATAACGTTTGCCGGGAGGAGGAGAGAAGTTCCAGTTGCTCCTTCTCATCCAGCCCTTCCCAGGCCAGCCTCTCCGACTTCCTGCAGCAGCTTCTCCAAAGGTGACCCTCCCCCATTCATACAGCAGGTCCTGAAACCTGACCTTGCCAGGCAACCAAAGCCGAACCCCGCAGTGCCCTGATGTGGCCTAACTTTTCTAACGAACCCAAGAGGCGACCAGCCGGAGGGTGGATACTTTGAGGGGTACTTTAAAATTTTAAGTGTTTTATTCACGAGAGCACAAACCAAAAGGCCCCACCCAGCCACCCCGGGTCTCACGCCTCCGCCCGGCAGCCGCTCGCTCCACGCGGACCTCTGAATGAACAGCGAGGCCGGGACACAGCCGGCCCGGAGGCGGGAAAAACCTCGGGACGAGCCGGGCCTGGTCCCCGGAGAGGCCCACGAGAGCGCGGGGAGGGCTCCGGGCGGCCGGGAGGGGGCGGTGACAGCTGTGACCCGGCTCCACTCTCTCACCTTGAACATGTCGCTGGCAGCGGCAGCTCCGGCGGGGTCACCCCAGCCTTGGCCCCGCCCACTACGGAGAGAGAGAGAGGCGGCTACGGCGGCCGGCTAGGGCCCGATTCTTCCGACTGCAAATGGGCCGCGGTGCGGGTGACGGCCGCACAGCCAATTCCGTGCGGTCAAGGCTTAGCTCGGAAGCCGGGATCTGAAATCCGCGTTGTTGAACTGCAGCGCGTGGCGCCTCAGGCGGCGAGCGAACGCAAGCCCCGCCTTCCGGAGGCTCCGCCCCTGCGCCGGCGGTTGCTAGGCGGCGGGAAAGCGCCAGCTCCATGAGGGCCGCACGCGGGGGCGCGAGGAGGGAGGCGCCGCTGCCCGCGCAGCGCTGGGAATCTGCCTTCGCCGCGGTGATTGGACGCCCAGCTGCGTAGGCTGAGAATCCTGTGTGCGGAGGCCGCCAGGCGGGGGCGCTCGTCAGGCCTCGGGCGGCAGCGAAAGCCTCGGAGTCGCAAACCGCCGACCTCTGGGGCCTGGATTTACCTCACAAAAGGTTTTTACTTGTGTGGTGTTTTTTTTTGTTTGTTTGTTTGTTTGTTTCCACTCTGGGCGGACAGTTTTAAGATTTTAAATTTAAACTGATTTGCCACATCCTTTCATCTCGAAAGACCCTGAAATTTTTTTTCTTTAAAATACTTAAGCCTCTTGTCTCTTACTGGGAATCAACTGTTGTTCCCTTAATACTAATAGAAATAAGTAATAATGGTAATAATTATCTTATTGACAAGAATAGCAATGAGCAACAGCGTTTACTCTATGCCAGGCTTTTACCTAAACTCCATACACATATTGTCTTCTCTTTCCAAATACCCAAGTAAATGGACACGATTATTATTCCTCATCTAGTAGATGAAGAAACTGAAGCACAGAGAATAGATTCAAGGCCATAGAGAAGGAAAGTGGAAAGTCAGGATCCAAATCTACCTAGTCGAGCTTTAAAGCCTGTGGTCTCACCTCAACAACTGTCACGTTGGCTTATAATGGGGTTGTGTTTCGTATAATATTTCGTTCTGTATTTCACATCTAATCCCATAGCAAGTGTAAGCCCATCCAAGCAGGCATCTAGAAGATTTGGGGGATTTGTGTGGTGCTGTGTCCCTGCCCTCCAGCCAAAGACCACTAGGAACACATCTGTAGTTGAACAAGTTGGGTTTGTTTCTTGCAGCTGCTAGGAAAATGCACACCTTGGGAAACAGTGGGGCATCTCAGTGAGAGAGTGTTAGAAAGATTTATTCTAGGATTTGGACTTTGGTTGGGTGATTTGGGGGCGGGTTCAAGGAAGCAGGGCTTTGCTCTGGGTTGGGTGGTGGTAGGAAGCCAGGGTTAACACCTAAGCCCAGCTGTGAATGCCAGGCCAGCTCCTGGATATTAAGGACTGCTTTTCTCTTTCTCAAGAGATCAGTGTATTCCAAGCCATCCCCATCCCCATTTCTAAGGAGAAATATTGAGATTCTGAAGGCTCTGCCTCAGTAATGGAATGTCATATGTATATAAAAGTGTGACTTATAAGTGATCAGTTAGGGCAAGAAGTCTTAATTCAGGGAGTATGTGAACTTAGGAAAAAATCGCAACTTTTCCCAAACCTCTACCTGAACTTTAGCATTTCTTTCAATTATATGTAGGTAACAAACCACAGTAGTATCAGCAGTACCTGTGGCTTTGTCATCAATAGAAAACACACTCTTTTCATATCACATTACAGTCACAGCAAATTTCCTGAAATACTGTTTCTACTTATTACCACTTCACAAGTACAGAGCTCTCATTTAATGCATAAAGAAGACCCATTTCTAGAATTTTGTCTTTGAAAATATTTTGACAATAATTTCAAGATAATTGGAGTCTTTCATAATCCCATATATTTTATATTATGTATTTTAAGCAACATAGTTCTTAGAAGGAGTTTGTCCTATATAGGGGTCCATGGCACCAAAAGAAAAGATTAAGAGACCCTGGTTTAGTACAAGACACTCAGCAGTGACTAAGAATTTGTGAGCTGCTTCCAAATTGGAGTAATGTGTAAGGGATAGAAAATCAGAGGTGGAATCAGATCACTTATTACACATCCTCTCACTTTACCAGAGAGGGAACTGAGTTACTGAGAGGTTAAGGGACTTGCCCAAAGTCTCACAGCTATTCCATTATAAAACCAGGATGAAAAGTTTTTAGAAAGCATATAAAAACCCTCCACTCTGATGTGCGTTGGGGATTCCATGGATAGCAAGCTGCCTCCTGCCTTCAACCAACTTGTTGGAATGACAGCCAAGAAATCAAATTATGGTGCATATGAGAAATACTGTGAAAGAAAAACATATACAGTATTATGAGACCTTGAAGACAGTAGTGAGTAGTTCTGTAAAAAGGAAACGATGGAAAACTTCTGAGAAGAGGCATCACTTAGATGGGATCTTGAAGGGTGAATTGATGTTTGCTGGTGGTAGGAAAGTTGTTTCAGGTAGAGGAAATGGCATGGTCATCAGTACAGAGTTGTAAAACACTGACTTTAGGAAGAAATTCTTATTCTCACAGAGTATAGAGAGGCATGCTAGTGGAAAGTTGGTATTTTGAGATTAGAGAGAGAGAATGGAGCTAGATTGTGAAAAGACTTGCACACAAGTCTAAGGAGTCTGCACTTTAGCTTGGAGGAAATGAGGTGTCCCTGAAAGATTTTAAGTTGAAGAGTGATAAGGTTGGATTATTACTCTGAGAAGTTAACTCCAGCTGCAGTGTGGAGAATGAACAGGCTGGAGACCGGGAGACCAATTAAAAGGCTATGGGTAGATCCACTGTCTTTCCTATATACCTCACAATTCTTGTAGCACACAAAGGATGTAAGTAATATTGAGATCTATGAAACCTTCCTTTTTCAGGGGCTCTAGAATTAGCCTAACAATCATATGGAACTTGAGTCTCATCTAAGCAGTGTAATAACATAGATTATGACCTCAAATGTTTAATTTATATACTTTCAGAGTATTTCACTGTGAGGAAAATGAGCCATTCCCTGAAGATACCAGTTACTGGTGTCCCGAAATCAGATAATCCACTCTTGGGAAAAGGTCACAAAGTACATTTCTCAAATACTGTAAAGACAAAGGAAAAACAACAGTAAGTAGCCATCTTCTACAACTGGACAGTTTCCATATGATGTTTACCCAGCTAACATCCAACACTTCTTGTTTTGTAAATTAGAGGGGTTTTTTGTGTGTTTTAAAATTACTTTTGAATTGAATAATAATTATTATAATTACAGTATTTCATAATTGACAAGGCATGTTAACACACATCTCTTTGATCTTAACACAACTTTGTGATGCAGTCTTGTTGCCACATTTTGTAAGTGAGAAAGTAGCAACTGGAAGAAGGTAAGCAATTTGCAGAAAGTTAATAGATGACATCAGCTACTTTTCAAGGGTTTGTTTCCATACTTCAGGACTTTTCTGCTCTACATCTTGTAGTCTGCACTTTGCCAGCTGGCAGCGACACTATACGGGAGTACCTCTCTTTGCATGTAACCCTGTGATAGGTAATGATAGGGTTGTAGGGGGCAGTTCTTGGAGAGTGAGATTCCTACAATCTGCCAGTGCTGGGACATGATCAAAGTAGAATGATGCTCTGACCTTCTGACTGGGATGAGACTGGCTCAAACAAAGATCAGAGAAGGGAATTTCTTTTTCTAGGGCATGGTCATCCGCTCCCAGAAGAACATTGGTTCTCCTGTAACTTCACATATTCTACATTCTATTTTCTTAGCATTTGAACTAGTTGGACAATGTCTTTAAGAACTAACTCTAATGGAATCATTTTAGGTCACAGATGTTTTTAGAAAGCACATTTTTTTGATGATAAAGTTTTACCAGGATTTTTTTAATCTCGAGGGAAATATTCTGAAGTATTTCATATCCTCATTCTGACTAGATTCTACAGATGACCAGTTCTAATTACCACATCGAAATGTTCCTCATTAAGTCAGACTTAGGGTGGGGGATGGGGAGGTGCAAGAGGAGGAAGCATAAATTCAGAGTTCCCCAAGATTTTAGGAAAATGAAAACTACTTCACAAATCTTAAGCTCTTTTGTTTCCTCTCAGAAATAAAGATGTTTCGGCTCACGTGATACAGAGAGCTTGGTTATCTCATCTCGACAAAACTGTGTTTCAACTCCTTAAGCATACAATTTGTGCAGCGGTATGTATTTTGCTTTTTGTTTGCTCTGACAGATATAATTACTTGTCAAGGTAAAATGTGTGTTAAATAAAGATAGAATATATAGCCTTTTAAAATCTCTTCTCTTTGAATCTAATCATATTGCAGGGGGTTGTGGCATTTCTTCTTTGGTTAACCCTGAATGAATATTTCTGGATTTACTTTTTAAAATTAATTATTTTAACTGGAGGATAATTACTTTATAATATTGTGATGGTTTTTGCCATACGTCAACATGAATCAGCCACAGGTATACATGGATTTACTTTAAAGCTGAGTAACTATTGTTTCTTTTTCTGAAACCAATGTGATTTTTTAAAATTCCATTCCTTATTTGAAGATGTGAGACAGTGATCTTACAACACTAAAAGTCTCTGAATTAAAAGTGCCTGTACCGTCCACTCAGCAGTTTTACTTCTAGGAATCCACTCTACAATATATATATAAATTCATTGGAGTATTGTTATAACAGCAAAGAAAATAAACCCTATAATGTCCATCAATAGGATACTGGTTAAATAAATGTTGATACTTTCATACTGTTAAGCCTTGCAGCCTTGCATATGATTCTGCAATAGAAGGTAGCTAAAATATCTCATTAGTAAACAAGGCAAGTACAGCACATTATGAATAATATAGTCCTATTTGAATAAAAACAAACCAACAAACAAAAAGGTGCACATCCCCTCACTCCCCAAAGAAACAACTCTGGCAACCCTGGCAGAGTATTAAGCCTTCTTTCATATAGTACCTAATATTCTCCTAATAAAATCACCTGTGATTACAGTAGTCTATAATTAGTAATAGTCACATTAAGGGAATTTTAGCAGTTCTGAAAAAAAATGATAAACGCTGAGAAATGTGTACACTTTCTCACCATCTGACCTACAGACCCATTTCTGATGTCAGCAAAAGCAGAATACCTCAGAGAAAACCCATTCAGGTAAACCTGTGACATTTCAGGTCCAT